CATCTTTTCTTTTTCTTTTCTTGTCCCCACACATGGCGGCAGTGGCGGATCCAGGAAAATTTGTTTATGTCCGCACATTTAGTGGCGGGTGCCCCCGAATTTTTTTTGTAAAAAAAGTTTAAGTTAACGCTTAAACCCGCTCATAATCTAGTTGCTTCCATAACAAGTTGCAGGCAATATTTTGACCCATCATTTTTTCTCTTAAATCTTACCAATCCTCCAAAACAAATATGAAAATATACTTAAGTACATCCATACATCATCATTCTATTTTATAGTGGTGAATAAAAAAGTCAACACTATTTGTACAGAAGACAAGCAAAATCACAGTGAAGGCCTTGTCTAGAAAGGAAATAAAGGATCAAGAGAGCGTGAGAATGGGTACATGGTAGGGGAGGAAGAATAAGTTTTCTCTCTAATCAATTTGCGTTGCTACGTTGTTTTAATCATCTCCGTACGTTGCTAACTAATATAAGAATAAATATCATTTTTAGTCTCCAACAAAAAATTCGGTACCCACTTTAGTCTATTATAAAAAAAAATAGCTACCTGGTCCTTATGAAATTTAAAGTGGACTCATTTTAGTCTTTTTGAGTAACTAATGTAGGTCTTTTTTGAATTAGTGAGGAACCACGATTTTAACTAAATTGATTCACTTTGAATTTCGTAGGGACCTCGAGACTAATTTTTGATAAGAGACTAAAGTGGGGATCATGTTTTTTATTAGAAACTTAAAAGGATATTTACTCCTAATATAAATATTGAATCAACATACAAATAAATACCTACAAAGCTAAAAAAAAAAATCTAAAATCTAAAATTTTATGTGGGCACTTGCGGACATTTGCCCATGGCTGGGTCCGCCAGTGCATGGCGGTCCAACGTGTACTCCTTTCTATTCTATTTTTGGAAAAAAATCTATTGTACTGTGGGCAGGTAGATCGCGTTAATGCAAACTATGAAGCATCGATGCTTTAAAAATTTTGACGTGTTATGTTTGACATTTTTTGATACTTTCTGACACTTCGATACTCCCCAACACTCCAACATGCGTTATAAAAATTCAAAAAAAAGTTCAAAGGTTGCGTTGTGTTGAATTTTTAGTTTCAACTATTAGATTCGTTGGATTACTATTACCATTTTATTGAGTTTAATATAAATATTTGGAATATCTTATATTTTTTTGTAAAATTGATGAATATTATAATTTTAGTTTTATTTTTTTGTTAAATTATTGAATATTAAATATAATATACACTACATAAATTAAAATTATTATTTAATATCAAAACGTGTTCTAACTTGTCAAAATCTAACATTTTTTAGAATTAACGTGTGTCGAAATATCGTATTGTATCATGTCACGTGTCTCATATCAATATCGGTGCTACATAAAATGAAAGTGCATCACGTCAACGTGTATTATATTTGAAAGAGGAAAATAAAAGAAACTTGAGGTAGGATATTTTGACTACCAATTTTTTCTGCAACTTGAAAAATACTGCAACAAGTCCCAAATAGTAAAAAGAGACCAATACAACATATAAAAAGCAAGGAACTTGTTATAAAAAAAAAAAAAAAAAAAAAAAAAGCAAGGAACAATTCAATATGACAGAGTTCACCTTAAAGTCAAACTTTTCAAGACAAATGAAGATAAAAAAGGAAGTGTGAAGATTGAAGAATTGAAGTCAAGAAAAAGGCTCAATTAATTAGACATGTAGATTTAAGTTTGGAAACCTAAAGAATAATAGCTCTCATATTAAGAAATGCACTTAAAGCTCAAAAAACATGCATATAGAGAATTTATATAGTCCAATCGTGCATACAAAATCACACAATGATATAGTTTTATGATATAACTTTTTTAGAGTTTATTTAGAAGATACTTTTTAACTTATAAAAAACAATAAAACTATTTTTTTAGGTTTTTTATTATTTTCAAAAAACTTATCAACTTATTATTAAAATTTTAATTATAAATTTATAAAAAAAAATACTTTTCATTAAAAAATATCAAATAAACAAGCGATAAACTAACGACTTTTTGTTTTTTGTTTTTATAAATCAAAGTACCTCTGCATGATGCACATTTTAATATTTTATTACTCATGGTAAGTCTCATTGGTGGAGTACTAGTAGTAACGCCTCTTCACTCTATGATAGTGACAATAGTGAGTTTTGGTCATCTGGGTCCATTTTTGAACTCATTGGCCTCTTTATTATTGACTTTCCAACATCTTTTATCTTCTATGAAGTCCTTTGTTTTTTGGGTTTATTTGAGTAATTATAGGATTCACTCATTGCATTTATTCAAGGATTTATTGCATCCACGACAGAGGAAATAAAACATATAAAGCTATACATATGTATGCTTTTTCCAAGTATTTTTTTTGTCTTTTTTGGGAAATATCTTGGTAGTTACGATGGACTTTTTGACCCTTATGACCCTTAATTAATAATTAATTACCAAATTGCTCTTCGTTTAAAACTATTTCGAAAATTTATCCTCCCCAACAAACATAACACCAATCTGCCCCCGGGTACACCCTTACCTACCCGGGTATATTTTGAAATTTTTATCTACCCGGGTATGGAGGGATGTACCCGGGTAGAGTTCTTGAATCTGGGAAAATGGTTGAATTATTTACTCGGGTATGGAGGAGTGTACCCGGGTAAACATCGACAGTAGGGTTTTTAAATACCCCAGCAGCCCCATTTCGAAAACCCACAAAAGGGGTACCCGAGTAGAGCTGCTGGAGGTGTGTCTTCTTGAGCGATTTCAGGCATAATCTTGCACCAATTCGTCTTGTTTCTGATCCTCATTCGCGGACCTTGCAACCTCTCTGCCTTCTACCGATTGAAATCGATCAAAGGTGCATTTTTTTTCTTTTTTTTCAATAATGTCTCATAAAAAATAAATAATATTATTTATACATTTTTTTACACGACTTACATATTTTTCGTAATAGACATTTATTTATATATTTATTTAATTTGTATGCAACTAACATTTCCGACTAAATGACCATTTTAATGCATTTAAAAAAATTTGGATAAATTTACCAAAAAATAAAATAAAATTTGAATAATGAATTATCAATGTATTACACATAGTCCTCCCCTTCATTCACGTGCAACTAATCTTATAAAATTAGTCATGCTTAAATTGTGATTAATTTTGTTTAAAAATTATAATAAACCTATACGACACGTGGCTGTCACATGTGAGAGGCACGTGAGACTTATTATAAGAGATTGGTATTGTTTTTATAATGAAATTAAAAAAAGGACGAAAAGGGAATATCAAAAAAAAAAAAAAAAAAAGGACGAAAAGGAGACTGAGAGGAGATTCGAGAGACATGAGCCACTTTTTTTATTAGAGTTCGTTTGGATTTGCCTCCTTAAAAAAGTTGCTTTTATATTTTGCTTATTTTAGAAGTTTTTTTATAAAAGTTAAAATTGATTAGATTTAAAAAAAAAATATTTGACTTTTGACTTATTCTTTTAGAAACAAAATTTTTTAGCTTTTAAAAAAAATAATTTTTTAATTTTTTTTGTAATTTTCACTTTTTTTAAGGAAGGTATTCAAATAAAATTTATAGTAGAAGTTTTTTTTTTCTTAAAAAAAAATAACTTTTTACTAAAAAAAACAATCTAAGCGGCCCTTAGTTCAGATTTTTGCTGCACAATTGGATCAATTCATTTGTTTGTTTAAAAATTTAATCTATTAATATTTTTATTATTTATACAAGCTGTTCTTGTCTTTTAGCTTGAGTCGTTTTCCTTCTTTCAGAATCCTTACGAAGGCCACGATGTCCGACATCGTACTTTGTCCTATCATTTCAGAAATCAAATCAAACAGAATATATTTATAATAATTACATGAATTATGTTTAGGGTTTATTGTTATTTATGTTATATAAGAGATAAATTTATTTTTTATACGTATATAAAATATGAGGAGAGATATTTTTATTACCAAAATTTTTCACTACCAACTTATTACCTATCTAATCACCATTATATTAATATTTTCTCTTTCTTCAAAAATTTTTTAACATTCTCTCTTTGATTCAATAGTGATGTGATGGGTAGTAAGTTACTAATAAAAAATTTTGGTAATTAGAATATCTGATAAAGTATATAAGCTTCTTATTTTCTCTTTCTTTCTCATTTTTCACATGAATTTCGTATATTTTTATGTTTGTGTAAAAATTAATTTTATTTTCTATAATAAAAAAAATCAAACAGTCACATATATAATTTTAATAGTAGTTATACTATACAAATATATATATATATATATATATATATATATATATAATTCTATTATTTAATCATATTTTATTTTATTTTTTTATGTGTCTGCACTATAATTATGTCACATTATCAAATGTGAAGTTATGTGTTTTTGCTGATGTGTCATAAGCATTTTTTTCTTATAATACCAGTTGATATAAATTCTTATATGCTTTAGAGTGTTATTCAGGATTGCGTTTATTTCATGGGAATGTCATTTCTGCATCTACGGCGTAAAAGATATTCGCGGTTCCTCTCACATTGCTTTTAATGCAATTTTCTCTTTTTTATAAAAAGAAAAAAAAAATTGAGTAAGTTTAAATTTTTTGTGAGTGGCAGGTATTATTTTTCTACCATAGGCGTAGAAATGATACTTTGTTTATTTATATTTTAATACTTTAAGCTTAACTACAAATAAAATTTATCACTCATTTACATATTTATTTTTCTTTTAAAAGAACAAACATTAAAAGCTATGATAGTAAACATATAAGTAAATAATAAGCCTTATCAATCATTCAAGTTAAAATATCAAATCTGAACGAACAAAATGTTACCTTTGATGAGCATAATTTCTAGTGGACTTGAAGAAGAAGTGCCAAAAACATCGTTGTCTTTGATATCTCTCTTTCTCGGTGGTCCTGGGAATTTTGTTTATTTGTTGCATAGATATAGAAGTATTTTGAGTGGAGGAACCTGTGTGAAACAAGAAGTGAAGTTCTCTTTCAAACATGGAAGCGGAGAATATTGAACAACCTTTGTTGAAGAAAAAGTATTATGAGAACTGCCCAGGTTGTAAGGTGGATCAAGCAAAAGAGCTGAAAAGTGATGTTTCCATTCTAAATCTTTCTTATATTTGGATGGCAGTGTTATGTGGCTGTAAGCACTGAACTGAATTTTCACTTTTGAACATGTTCCTAATTCTTTTGTGTTTTTTTTAAGAGCTAAGTTTGCTGATGCTACCATTCTAGCATTTCTATTTGAACATGTCATGTGAGAGCATCCAGTTTTGGCAAGGTCTTACGTTAACATAGAGGTAGCAAAAATTGCAAAAAAAATAAACAAAAATGGTGTCTAATTTTAAAACAAAAAATACTTCCCCTTTTGATTGATGATTGCAACAAGCTTATACTTTTTGTAAGATTTTCATTCTTTTCAGCCAAAATTTGGTTTTCAAGTTTGTACTTTCTTTTGCAACGCCTTAAGGGAATAAATCTATGTCCATCATTGTTTTTCTTTTCCTTTGAGAAAAAAAAAACATAACACTCCTTAGTTGTGATTGGTTGAACTCATGACGGATTTATCTTTATCTTGAACATGTGAAACAGAGTACCATAGCTCAAAATGGAGTGAATCCTATAATAAGGGTTGTGTGAAAAAATTAAAACTTGAACTTGTTATGGTTTTGATACAATTTACCATTTTCAAACTGAAATCATGGCTATGTTCTATGTATTAACTGGTTAAGTTATCTCATGTCTATACATTCCTCATTTAGCTGATTGAAACAGCTTCTATATTTCACTCTAATGTCTCTTTCTTTTATCATGTACAGCGTTGCCTGTATCATCACTCTTTCCCTTCGTTTATTTCATGGTGAGTTTAACTTTCTACTGGGATTTACTGTTTATTCTCTCACGATGCATGCTCTGATTTTGCGACATTGTTAGTTCTTGGGGGTTTCTTCTTATTGATCTTTTTCATAATTATTTGGATCTTTTCAAATAAAAGAATTTGAGTACCAGTTCTCTGTTCAGTCATAATTTTTTACTATATTATTTTTAAAAATTAGTTTCCATTCTGCTGGTCTACTTTACTTGGATAAACGAACTTTTGAACCATTTTTAAAGGAACTTTTCTGCTATAAGGAGACCCTAATTTCTACTACAATGAGACAGCTTCGAAATTTTGTCCTTAACTTGACCTTAGTTCTTGCTTCCTCTATTCATCCTAATTACCACTTCGAGGCAAGCCAAGTCCCTTGGGTATGCCCACAACCCAGACGGGAAAAGGGGTCCACATAGATATAGGACTAATTCCGAGTCAAGTACCATGACAACTATCTAGGCCCCAAAGATTTTCTCCGTAATTCAAACTCTTGTTCTTTTGGCATCATTCGTCCTTGAACTCATACTGCCACTTGAGCCAACTCTCAGAGTTAAATATAGTAATTTCTGATCACTGACACAATATAATTTAGATTTTTAACTGATAATTGCAAACTTCTAGATGTCCCAATGTCAATTTCTAATTGCATTCCCTCTTGCTTTCTCATTTGTTATGAAATACTCAAAATATCAAACTTATGTTAATGATTGAACTTAGTTACTGCTGCACATAATATTCATCCTCAATATTGTAACATTGAAGATATATATGTAATGAATATTTATATTCAGGTAAAGGATTTTAATGTTGCAGAAAAAGAGGAAGATATCAGTGCGTATGCTGGTTATGTGGGTAAGATTTCTTTTAGTACTTCCATTCTTTGATGTCTTCTAAATTATTTATAAGTTCTTATTGATCCCTTTATGGCTTCAAAAATATTGTAGGATCTGCATACATGCTTGGCAGAACTTTAACATCTATAATGTGGGGAGTAATATCAGATCGCTATGGTAGAAAACCAGTTATAATTATAGGGCTTATCACGATGTAAGTATATATGTCACTGAGGTGGATATGGTTTCCTTCAAGCTACGTTAATATGTTTTCCCCTAACAAAAGTGATGCTTACTTGATTCTTCAGTGTCATTTTCAACACACTATTTGGTCTTAGCACAAATCTATGGATGGCTATTAGCATGAGATTTCTTCTTGGAAGTTTAAATGGTTTGTTTGGCCCAATAAAGGTGATTATATATATAGTAAGCAATATAATGTTTCATCCACTGGTATCAGGAAAAATTAAAAGTTTGAATTTATGTAATTTCATTTAAGTAATTTCCTTATTGCATCAAAATCTAATTATACCTTAACCTCTTCTATTAACAGGCCTATGCTACTGAAATTTGTAGAGAAGAGCACCAAGCTCAAGGACTCTCAACTGTAAGCCTCACTAACCTTTGTCTACTATCATTTCTTAGAATAACATGTACATCATAATAATTCAAAGTGTTACCTGATTTCAGGTTGTTGCAGCTTGGGGAGTAGGTTTAGTCATTGGGCCAGCATTGGGAGGTTATTTGGCTCAGGTAATTTTTGTTTTTTTATTAGTTGGGGGATCAAATTTAGGAAATAACATTTTTGTAAACATGCAAGGGTAACATTGCGTACTAGGATTTGCCTCACCCTGTGAAAGTGGTTTATTTATTCCTTCCATGATGAAATACTTCTTTAGAAAAGCCATGAATTATTTGTTCCTTCTGCCACATTTAAATAAATCTTTCTGTCACTTATTTTTCTAATGTTTTGTGAAATTTTGCACTACAGCCAACATTGAAATACCCAAATCTATTTCCAAAAGATTCCTTTTGGGATAAGTAAGTAGATTTTTGTTATTTTATATTATAAAAGATAATGTTTCAATTTTATTTTCCTTCTTTCTTCTTTAAATTTATTTTCTTGCTTGGTTATTGTTCTGAGTTTCATTTGTCAAAACAAAAATCTTCTTGCAGGTTTCCATATTTCTTGCCCTGCTTTATAATATCAGCTTTTGCATTTGCAGTAGCAATTGCTTGCATTTGGCTTCCGGTATGTATCTTAAATTCTAACATATCTTTTCATCAACCATAAATATTTCTACCCTCTTTATGTTTTGTGACTTTTATTATAATTTTAGTATGATGACTTATCACAATGTAGCACAATCTTTGTATAATGTTTTATATGTATGTGTGTATATGTTGCAAATTATCACATATTTTCCATAATTATAACAGTATATATACATATACACAGTATAAAGTTTTACATCTTTGGTCAACAAAATTGTTTCAAAATATTTGAATCATGCATCACTGCAGGAGACACTTCACAACCACAATGGTAAAAATAAGTCCATTGATAACGCGGGAGCTTCAGAAAATGGAAGAAGTGGGGCTGACAAAGGCAAGATGATCCAAAAAGATGAAAACATTCTCCTAAATTGGCCCTTAATGTCATCTATCATTGTTTACTGTATTACCTCACTTCATGATATTACTTATCAAGAGGTAGTACTCCTACTTAATATCAATCCATTCATGCATCTATTTATTGTGTTCTAGAAAATGATATTTCATTTGATTTGGCTATATGCCAATACCATTCCATTTTTTTGTTAGGTTTTCTCATTATGGGCTGTTAGTCCTCGAAGGTTGGGTGGATTGAACTTTTCAACTGATGATGTTGGTAATGTTCTTGCTATATCAGGTACATCTTTCACATCTATGAATTTCTATATATTTGTTAATTAGGGTAGGTTATTCTTACACCAGTATAAGCACAAAAGTCTTGCACACAATCTTAACCATTGATATGCTTATATCTAACGGCTCACATATCTAATAAATCAGAATCGTTACATATAAATAAAATCAATGGTCAAGATTGAGAGTGTAACTTACATTGGTGCAAAATGATCTTGACGTTTGTTAATTTTTTCCTTTGTAACTTTCCATCTCCAATGGTTACATTTGTACATAAACATTTATGCACTCAAGGTCTTTCCTCTAAACTCAAACTCGTCTTAATGAGAGAATTTCACTTACTTGTATCTCCAAACTCGTGTCTTTAGATAGATCGAGACAATGACCATAATTTAGTGTTTGTTTTGAGGATGAGTTCATTGTTCAAGGATCATATTTTGCAAAGCCAATTTGTAACATTTAGCAAATTTTTTATGTAAGTTAACTTTTTTGTCTTAAATATCATATCATTTTGTGTTTATATCTGGATCTAATGTTTCTTTTATTTGGTGAATCAATTTGGTCTTGAAGTCAAAAGAGTTACTACTTATGTTATATCTTGTAATCTTTGCAGTCAAATCAAACAAAATAAGAGTGTAGATTTATTCAAACTTTTTAAATATTTGTGCTTTTTTAATATTTGTGCTTGCCAAACTTCAGTATCAGGGTTCTTTTATCATTTTCTATAAAAAAAAAATACCACTCTCCATTAAACCCAGATTAACGAGGGTGGGGTGAGGTCAATATTTGTACGAAGCATTACCCTCGCATATTTGCAAAAAAGATATTTCTCGGATTAAAACCCGTGACCTTTCAGTCACAAAGGAGCAGTTTTACCCCTGCTCTAGGCTCCCCTCTTTTTCTGTAGAAAAAGGGATAGGTTATTCTACCTACATTTTTTTCTGTCTACCTTTGCCTACCGTTATCCAACACTATTAGATGAGAATCTCAATTACTTTTATCATTTCTCTCTCCCATTTAGATTATGATCAAATGTGTTGGAGAGTGTTAGGCAAAGGTAGGTAGAATAACCTATCCTATAAAAAAAATGAAAAATGAAAAATAGGCAAGTACACAGCATAATCAACTTCTTTAATCAGTTTAAGGCATTATTGGCAAAATATGAAACATTTGAACTGTATTAAATTTGTTCCTTTAGATTTGCATAGCAACAAAGATGTGCACTTTTTTTTGTGCATTACTTAATAGATATGCTTCTTAACACTGACATCTCAACTTGTGTCAGGTCTTGCTATTATAATCTACCAGGTTACCCTGTACCAATCAGTGCAAAAAGCTTTTGGACCTGTTAGCATTGCTCGCTTCTCTGGGGTTAGCTTTCACCTTATGTGGCAATTACAGTGATTCAAGATTTTATTTTTTTCTTTATTTTAAGCATGTTTTATTATTTGGAATGATATGTAGGTATTATCCATACCCCTCTTGCAAAGTTACCCCTTCATTGCAATGTTGTCAGGCTTCACACTTTACCTAGTGATAAATATTGCTTCTATATTCAAGAATCTTCTGACTGTAAGTGCACCTCTTTTTGTAGCCAATTATTAGTGATATTGAGGGAGAAAAGGAATTGAATTGGCTTCACTTAATTTACTGAGAAAAGGTTATCTTCATTATAAACTTACCTGTTTTAGTCTTTTTGTTTAACTTAGGAGACAATTGCAACTGGTTTATTCCTTCTGCAAAATAGAGCTGTGGTAAATTTTTGGTTTCTTTCATTAGCTTTCATTTCCTTTCATAAGTTGAGATTATTCTTTTGTGGAATTGGAGCTTATATGGCATGTAAATTTCGAAAACAGGAACAACATCAAAGAGGGGCTGCTAATGGTATTGCTATGATGGGTATGTCAGCATTCAAAACAATTGGTCCAGCTGGAGGTGGTGCAATGTGAGTGTCCCTTTGATTTCTTTAGCTTCTGTTTGACTTATTAACCATTGTTAACAAATGTGATTATGAAGCTCTGCAAAGTTTTGATATTTTAAATGAGACAAGCCAAAAAAGTGCTTTGTATATGATGCACCTAAAATTGGCTAAGAATTATGCTTGCATGTGTCATTTTGAGGGTTTTTGGGCTTTTATTTTTATTTTTAGTGATAATATCATAATTTTGCATTGTAATTTGAATTGTTTACTTATTTTAAGTGTATTTAATTCTGATTGATTTACAATCAATTATCTTTATTTTAAGGGAGTATGTTACACAGATATAATATATAAATTATTTATGGACCTTCACTTAACAGCTTGAGTTGTTGGATGATATGGTTGATTTACATGGCATCAGAAAAGGTCCGTAAATGATTTTTTATATCTCTTAACAGAATCATTATTTTCCTTTTAGGATATACATGATCTGTTATGTAGATAAATTTTAGTTCATTTGAGTCTGAAAGTTTTTGCTAAGTTCCTTTTTTTGTATTCAAGCTTTCCAAAGTTCATATTTTCAGACTACTTGGTGGTTCATTAACAGGAATATATATTTTAAGCACATTATTGACAAATGTAATTACTTGGAGAGAGGTCATGGTAGAGAAAATCCTAAATATTTAGGCATACAAAGTAGCACTGACTGAACTTTAAGGGAAGGATAAACTATGCACATTTAAAGGAGAACATATTATTCATGAAAGTACCACAACCCCAGTGTACAAAAGTAATTAAGGAAGATATGCTACATAAATTGTAAATGTCTTGCTACATTTTATTTTGTTAATCAAGAAGGAATATTCATATAATGGGACTGTTATATTATTAGAATGTTTGTTTCCAGATAAAGATGTAGCTAGCCTATTTCTTGTCATTGTATACTTTGAGCCCATCAGTAATAATAAGAGTTAAGGGAGATTACTCTCTGCACTTTCTTATCTAATTTCATTTTCATTGGTAAAATAATTTGTGCAGAGTATGACATATAGCATTGATCAACAAAACTTTCTGACTACAATGATATATTGAAAATTATATCCAGATTTCTTATCCTGCTCTTGGTCAATGCAGATTAACTTGGTGTCAAAAGCGGATAAATGCTTCTTTCCTCCCAGGTATGATCCTTAACTAATTTGTTTCAGCTGATTTCTATTTCATATACTAAAATATGGAAATCCTTAATAACTGTTAAAGTTTTTTGTTCACCTAGTGTTCCTTAATAGGAAAGAACATAACAAGCCTTTTTTTTTTTTAACAGCATAAAGAGTTCTGGCCTTGAAGCAAAGAATGAAAATGTACTTTTAGAATGACAAGTTTGAACTCTTGGTCTAACCCCTTCAGTTGAGTTTTATTTTTCCTTACTTAAAGATCACGGGTTTGAATTCAAAAAATAATCTCTTTGCAAATATTTAAAGGTAAGGTTGCATAGAAAAATTGTTCTCACCCCACATCGTTAGTCGGAGTTTAATGAAAAATGATTTTTTTTAAGGATGGTTGTGATGGTACAAAGAATTAATTGGACAGAGGATTTGAACAGCAACAGAATATATTGAAATTATAGAGATTTAGATATACACAAAGAAAAGGGAGAATACTGAATAATATGTGAATAATATTATATATCGATGTGTTATGAAGTGGCATGAAACAAAACACAAAACCTAATACCTATTTATATTAGTAGTAAACTCTTAAAATAATGAAACAAATAATAAAATATAGATAAATAGTGAAACTAAACGTAAGAGATTCTTTAGGATACTCTAAATATTATTAAGATATACTCTTAATATTACCAATATATCTAAATATTCTATCACCCCTCATTTCTCATCCCCATCCTTATCCTTATTCATGATAGAACATGTTTTCTTTTGTTAGCTGTATTAGTGGAAGGTCACTGTTTTACATTTAACTGCAGGCACCCATATGGTCTTCCTTGTACTGAATGTTGTTGAAGGACTAGCAGTATTGTTGATGTTCAAACCATTCTTACCCTCGGAGCAGTTACTCTGATAGAAATAAATTTTGCATAAGGGTAAAGCATTTCGGGGTTATCTAATACATTAGTTTTGAACTAGTGAAATTGAAATATTTTTATGGATGATTCTGTGTTGGACATTTACATGACGCGAGTTTTGAATTCCATTATTGATATTTTAGAAGGGGTCAATCTGTATCTGACAGAATTAGTTTAAGATTTGACTTATATGATTGAGCTTGAAATATGTAATTTTATTTGAATTTTTAATATGCACCGATATTTATTCATCCAATGAGTGAAACACGTATGGGAAATGTGTGCATTTAAATTATGCATCTATTCGATACACGATTTGAACACGCATGGTCAATAAGCATGTCTTGCTGATATGCCCTTAATCTCTCATGTATTAAGCAATATTATTAAAACCGGCCGGTGATTGATCCGGTCGAGGTATTGGGTCACTGGTTCAACTACATGATCCGGTAATTATATATAATTTTATAATTTATATTAAAAAATTATAAACATACTCAAATATCTAAAAAAATGATTAAAATTTCAAATATTTTAATATAAAAAATAATAAATCACATATTATTATCTAATAAAAGATCAAACAAAAATATAATGATCGTGATACGGGGTTTTAAGTTCAAAAAATGACATCCTTAACTATAAATCAAATCAAATTTTTTTGCATAGTGCAAATTGAGATAATATTAGTATTGTAAATACATAGCATATGTAAGTTAATAAGCAAAAAAATATTCAAATATGTTCATTATGATTTTTTTTTGTGACCGGGCCGGGTCACCGGTTAACCAACCAGGTCAGCGATTTTCATGAAAATCGGGTCGGACCGGGTCACACCGGTTCTGATACATGGCCGGTCCGTTGCTTCAACCGGACTGATTATATGATTGGTGATAAACCTTTAGTTTATCTTATTTTATAGACTAAATTAATATAAAATATCAAGTTAAATAAGTCAAAAACTAGGGTTTAATATAATAATCATGAACATTATCTGAATTTTTGTTTAATGGAATCATCTTTGCTATTTTTTAGGGATTTGTTGACAAAAGGAGTCAAAGATGAAGATTGGATAAATAGAGATCACAACTAGAAAAGATGAGATCAAGAGATGATAGAAGAAGATCAAAAACAATAAGATTGAAGATCTTATCAAGTTGTTAGAAGTGGGAGCTTAAGCCCCCATTCAGAAGCTTAAGCTCCCTAAAAACGCAAATAGCTACTGCCTCTGGGCGCTTAAGCCCCCAACTCAGGGCTTAAGCGCGCCACAAGAAGAAAAAGTTGTCGCGAGGAGCGCGCTTAAGCGCCCTTCAGAGCGCTTCAGCGCGAGTCAGAAATCACTGTCCTAGGGCGCTTAAGCGCGCTACAACAGGCTTAAGCGCCCCGACAGATCCAACTTAGGCCCATTCGAGTTTTCTACTAGGATACGAACTCTTGGCCAATAAAAGAGCCATTGGGGACCAGAAATACATAACTTTTACATTGCTAAACAACTCTTGGGTGCTCGGAGGCTGAAGGAACGCGGAGGAACATCAGATTCATGTTCGTGAGGGGCGGAGACAGATCAACGTCAAGTGTTCACTGGAGATATTGAAGATCCACCAATCACCTATGGAGTTTGGGGGAGCTTTTCTATTTTCTTTTGTTCTTGATTTTGCTATGTCCGGCTAGTTCTTTAAGTAGTTAGGGTTAGATGGATTTTAGTCGATTTATTATGCTTTGAACAATTCGTACATTAATTTTCCTTTTTATCATGAATGAAGTTATCTGTTTTTAATGCTTTATATAGGCTTGAATCTTATATAATGATCATCGGTAAATGCATGACAATAGGGATGTTGGTGTGTGATCCATATCTGATAACTTCATCGTAAACGCTATGATTCTAGGGATAGACATAGAATTTGCGTAACCTTAAGATTCTTGAACTTAATGCTTGCATTCTTGGGGAATAACCGGGGAACTAGGGTTCTTCCAAGTTTGTAAAGGTTTTAGGGTAACAAGGGATTGAGCTCTAATAACACGCGAAAGAATTGGTTAGATTGATATTAAGGACGGTTAACGTAAAGAAAGACTTCGAATCATAATAAGGAGATTAAAGGAAATCGAACCCCTAACTACGTTTTTATTTTATTAGTTAAATCACATCTTTAATTTCTTGTCTTTAATTCTTGCAAGTAATTAGCTTAATATTTAATATTTTAATTTTGCAATTCAAATCCTGTTTCCAAATACACTTTCGATTGTCCAACTAAGTTTGCGATAGTGAATTAGTGCTTGAACTGTAATCCTCGTGGGAACGATCTCTTACTTAATCATATATTACTTGTACGATCGGTGCACTTGCCGTGAGTAGCACCAAGTTTTTGGCGCCGTTGCCGGGGATTACTATTTCAACATTAATAGTAGCTATTAATTCTTTAGATTAGACCTTATTTTCTGTTATTTAATTTTCTGTTATTTAAATTCAGTTTTATTTCCTTATTTTATATAATCTATTTTTCTGGTTTATGCGAGGTACCGTTGACACCGATTCCTTGCAATTCGACCCGGAGATAGAGAAAACAGCAAAAAGAAACAGAAAACTTGCTAAAGAAAGAAGACAGCAAGAGAAAGAAGCTTCAAGCTCAACAGAACCAAGAGAAGAAGCAATGGGAGACAACAATGCACCTCCACCACCTCCGAGAACGTTGGGAGATTACATGACTCCTGCTCGAGTTCCACAGACGGCGAGTATTGTTAGAGCAAACGTGGATGCTAATAACTTTGAACTCAAGCCGGCACTTTTACAATTAATTCAGAAAGACCAATTTGCCGGAGGAAGCACAGAAGACCCTCACATCCATCTGGAAAACTTCTTGCTATATTGTGATACCTTGAAGATGAATGTGGTGTCTCGGGATGCTATTTTGCTCAGATTGTTCCCCTGTTCACTTAAAGACGAAGCAAGAGGATGGTTGCAATCGTTACCTCAAGGAAGCATCACCCACTGGGACGACTTGGCAAACAAATTTTTGGACAAATTTTTCTCATCTTCGAAAATGGCAAAGCTCAAGGCGGATATCACTTCTTTTGAACAAAAAGGAAGTGAATCTCTATATGAAGCATGAGAAAGATTCAAGGGACTACTTAGGAAGTGTCCCCAACATGGCATTGAAGCTTGGGAGCAAGCGAGAACCTTCTTCCAAGGGATGACGCCGAACACAAGAACATTGGTGAATGCTGCATCAGGAGGGTCCTTAAAAACAAAAACTCCAGAGGAAGCCTTGGAATTACTAGAGTCTCTAGCCTCTCAGGAGTATGATAATGCTCCAGTACCACAGAGAAGAGCGGGGATTATGAGGCTTGATGGCTATGATGCCATCTTAGCTCAGAATGAACAGATTTTACAAATTAACGAGAAACAACAAGAACAACTAGATGCTCTCACAAAGCAATTTACCAGTTCTCAAGTCTCTTCTGTTAATAATATTCAAATAACTTGTGGTATTTGTGCAGGTGCTCATGCTACTGAAGACTGCAAGGCACCCGAAACTGCAGATGTTAATGGAATTTGGCATGATCAGAAAGTTCCATATAATCCAGGGAGGAACCAATACGGCAATAACCAGAATCAAGGGTGGAGAAATAAAAATCAACATCCAGGATTCAGTTATAGCTCGAATCATCAGCTAAATCCTCCTATGCCAGCACCACAGCAACCTCCACAACGATCAGAGTGGGAGAAGGCATTTGCACAACTATCCAAAACCACATCAGACTATGTTCAAAGTACCAATGCATTCAGGGAAGACACTTCAGCCTTTATGCAAGAAACCAGGGCCTCATTCAGGAATCAAGAAGCCTCAATCCGGAATCTAGAAACTCAGATTGGTCAATTGTCAAGGCAGTTCAACGAAAGAACCCAAGGCACCTTCCCAAGTAATACAGACGTTAATCCAAACGCACACTGCAAGGCCATTACCACAAGAAGTGGCATTGTAATTGAACCTGTGATTAAGCCTTCAGTAGAGAAAAAGAAAGCTGAGGGATCTGCCATTGAAGAAGAAAAAGAGAAGGAAGTTGACAAAGAGCCTGCTGCAGAGAAAGCTGTTCCTGAAAAGAAAAAGTTCAAATGGGAGAAAAAGAAAGCGCAAGAAAGACAAGAAAAGCCATTGGAGCTCTCACCTTATGCAAAAATTCCATATCCGCAGAGGTTCAGAGAGGAAATCAAAAAGCAGAAGTATTCGAAGTTCCTTGACATCTTCAAAAAGCTACAAATCAATATTCCATTTGCTGAAGCCTTGGAGAACATGCCGAATTACGCAAAGTTCATGAAAGATCTCTTATCGAAGAAACGTAAACTGAAAGAATGTGAAACGGTGACGTTGACAGAAGAGTGTAGTGCTATAATTCAGAAAAAGTTGCCTCTAAAACTTGAAGATCCTGGAAGTTTCAGCATTCCCATAGAAATTTGACTTGAGAGCTAGTATTAACCTTATGCCATTATCCATCTGCAAGGCTCTGGGGATTCATGAATTAAAGCCGACCAAAGTTTCACTGCAGCTAGCAGACAGATCTACCAGAAGGCCAGATGGAGTTATTGAAGATGTCTTGGTGAAGATTGATAAGTTCATATTCCCTGCAGACTTTGTCATCTTAGACATGCAAGAGGATGCTGAGATTCCCTTACTGTTGGGAAGGCCCTTTTTAGCCACTGCAAGGGCTATGATTGATGTGGAGCAGGGTAAGCTGATGTTGCGGGTTAATGATGAAACCGTAACGATTGATGTTCTTGAATCTATGAAACATCCTTCCGACGGAGGAGATTGCTTCAAGGTTGATGTGATCAATGATGCAGTGCTAGATACAGTTGATGAAATACTCCAACCACTGATGGAATTGGATTCATTAGAAGAAGATCTACTGCACAATACGACTGAAGCAACAGAAGGAGAACAAGAGGTTGAAAAGC